AAGTGTAGAAGTCTAGGCTTGGATCCACTTGGCCTTGCTGTTAGTCGTGGGGCTGGGGCTGCAGTGTTTTCTGTGTTTGGCTTGAGTAGAGCCATCATTGTCTGAAAGTTTTCTATCTTGCTAGACTGCCCCTTTCCTGGTCCTTTGACTAGAGAGAGCAGGCTTTCTTGGGGCAGTTTTTGTCTGTACCCATTGGCCTTTCTGGGTTGTAGCTTCTCCAGGACCTAGTCTAGGCTATATGAGGCTAAGGGATAACCCAGAGAACTCACTGCCATGTCATTTTTTTTTTTTTTGCCATGTCATTTTTTTAGGTCTCACGATCCTTAGCCAGTCTGCCTTCTTCATTCCACCTTTCAGAGTTTTCCTATGTTTTCTGGATAATGTCCAGAGTTTTCAGCTGTATTTAGCAGGAAGAATAGATAAAATTATATCTACTTCATCTCCAGAAGAGGAAGTCCTCATAATTACGATTTTTAAGACTTCACGTGGTTCCATGCATTTGTGCTGTTTTTATTTGTATATGTTGAATGACCCTAAAGGTTTATGCAAGTTATCACTTCTTTATTGTATATTTTATATTAAAAGAGACTCCCTTTTTGTTAATCTATTGTGCACCCTGGACCTTAATTTCCACCTCAATAATTATATTTCTAGACCTACTTTCATTTTCTTGCATTTGTCTGGGGTATTATATATTTTTAAAATCTTTATTGAATTATAATACAGAAAAGTGCACACATTATGCATGTTTAGCTTGATGATATTTTAAAAGACTGAACAAACCTGCACAACCAGCCACCTAGATCAAGAAATAAAACATTCCTAACATTCAAGAAGCCCTCCTGTGTTCCTTTCCAATCACTAACTTCCTTCCAAGGGGTATCAATATCCTAACTTTTAACAATATGGATTAGTTTTACATGTTTTTGAAATGTATAGAAATGTAATCATATAATATTGATTCATTGCTCTTTCAGGTCTGGCTTCTTTGGCCAATATAATGTTCATGAGATAAGATTTGTGCGTGTTGTGTATAGCAGTTGTTGATTCTCGTTGCTGTGTATTAATTCCTTGTATTAATAAAGGACAAGTTGTTTATCCATTCTAATGCTGATGGGCATTTGCATACTTTTCAGTTTTGAATAAAGCCACTGTGACCATCATCATACCTGTCTTCTGGTAAACATATGTTCGCATTTCTCTTGAGTAAATGCTTCGATGGAATAGCTGGGTCATAGGATATAAAGCATATGTTCAGCTTTAACAAATACTACCAAACAGTTTTCCAAAGTGTTTGTAGTATATTATGCTCCTAAAAAACAATTTATGAGTTTCAGTTGCTCTACAACCTTGCCAGCTCTTGGTTATTTTCAATCCTTTTCATTTAAGCCATTTCTGGTGGATGTGGATGAGTATCTGTAGCTTATATTTTCTTGCTAACTTATGAATTTGAGCATCTTTTCCTATGCTTATTTGCCATTTGGATATCTTCTTTGTGAAGTGTCTGATCCTTGTGTTCTTCTATCGTTCTTATTGATTTCTAGGAATTCTTAATATATTTGAGATATGAGTTGTTTGTCAGATACAGGTATTGCAATTATCTTCTCCCACTGTGGGATTTGCCTTTATGCTCTTAATTTTGTCTTCTCATGAACAGAGGTCCTTACTTTGAATGCAATCCAACTTAATAATCTTTTACTCTACCAGATATCAAAGCTTAATATGAAGCACATTAATTAAGACAGTGTAGTACTGGTCCAAGAATAGACAAATAGACCAATGGGAATACAGAGTTTGGGAATGGACTCCCACATATATGGTCACAAGGCAACCTGGAAAAAGGGTAATCTTTTTTTTTTTTTTTGCGGTACGCGGGCCTTTCCCTGTTGTGGCCTCCCCCATTGCGGAGCACAGGCTCCGGATGTGCAGGCTCAGCGGCCATGGCTCACGGGCCCAGTCTCTCCGCGGCATGTGGGATCTTCCCGGACCGGGGCACGAACCCGTGTCGCCTGCATTGGCAGGCAGACTCTCAACCACTGTGCCACCAGGGAAGCCCAAGGGGTAATCTTTTTAATAAGTGGTACTGGATCATCTTGACACCAATATGGAAGAAATGAATCTTGACCCTAACACATACCACACACCAAATCCTTCCTGGGAAGACTATAGATCTAAATGTGAAAGATAAAACAGTAAAACTTTTAGAAGAAAACATTAAACATCTTTATGACTCTGAGGTAGGCAACGATTTCCTAACAAGCCGTAACTAATGCTGACCATAATGGAAAGAGTAGCAAATAACATGGCATACTTCTGTCCAGTGCTTCATTTCACATCTTTGTCTTTTTGTTTTAGATGTGTGGCAACTGTATTTTTTTAACCCAATCCCATAGTCCTTATCTTTTACATCAGAATTCAGCTCATTCAATTTAGTTGAATTCTAATATATTTGATTTCATGCCTCCTATTATCTTATGTTTACTATTTATTTTACGTGGTTGATATTTCCTCACTTTCTCTTTTCCTTTTTTTTTTTTTTTTTGCTGGTTTGGTCATGTTTCTCTTAATTCCCCTCTAATTTCTTAATTTCTTATTATTTTGGAATTATAGTTTGGAGTTTTATCTTTATCAATTTCTGCTAGTAGTTGCCTTCACCTTCCTTACAAATGTGATTGTCTATATTTTCTCTATTTCTAAATCCAAATAATGTTTTAATATTATTTGGATCTAGTAAAAGAGATGCATAATTTTCCTCCTCCTCATTTCACTCAGTAAATTTCCCCAGGGTATTAAAATTTTTTCCACTTATTAATAGTAATAATCTTATTTGTTCCAGGTGCCCAATTACATACATTTTTCTTTACTCAGTTATAACTATATATCAATTGCAATAATCATTTCTCAAAATTGCTTTCCTCCAATTTTGAGGTTTCTGTTACTATTGAATTTACAATTGCTTAGACTATCCCCTTGAGTATTCTCCTGAGATTCTAATATTGGTATATAATGTTATAAGTGCTTGTATGTCTAAAATTGTCTTTTGCTCTAACGGAAGCATGGTATTCAGCTAGAGTGGGTTTAAAATTCTTGGATTGCAGTCCCTTTCAATAATTTGTAGATGTTTTCTTCTAATATGGCTCCTATTGTTGCAAATAAATCTAGTGCCATTGTGATCCCTTTCCATTGTAAATAACATGCTGTTTCTGCCTGGAAGCATTTTAAATTTTCTTTTTATTCTTTAAATTCAATACCAAACCAGATTTGGGGTTGATTTGGTTCCCCTGGGAGTAAAGGATTGGGAGGATTTCTGTGGGGGGGGCATCACGGAGTTAGAGTCCAATAGGATTAGATAATCCAGGGCCTATAGATGCTATTCATGTTGGGTCAGTGAGTGATAATCTTGGGAAATCCTTGAAGAAACATAATTAGAGACATATGTTGGTAAGTGATTGAGACCTCTGTAGAAATTCTTGAGGTTTTATAAGAGTTGGAGGTCTGAAGTCATCTAAAGTATCTGGAGTCATCAGTCAGTCCATGAGAGTTATTGATTGGGACACTGAGGTGGTGAAAGATTGATTGCAAGCCTGGGATTTTAAGTCTTTGGGAGACAGTTTTAGGAGCCCTATGGGAGTCATTGATTGGGACCTGTAGACATCGGTAATTGCAGGACTGTGTGAGTTAGTATGTGATGGACCGGAAGGTCTATATTTGAGGGGTTTATGGGAGTCATTGACTCTACATATGGGCTGTGAGTTATGGAGTCCTATAGGAGGTCAGGTTTGGATCCAGGGGGCATTGAGCAGATTAATAGTTGATTTTCTATTGAGGTTGTGTTGCCTGTGTTGGTGATTATTTGAGGAACCTATGGAAACCAGTTGATGGCACCATTTGGGACACAGTTTTTGTCAAGCAGTGTAGGTTACCGATTTAGGAGCCTGTGCAGACATGCTGACTTTCAGGGCCAGATGGGAATTGGGAGAGAGGGGGCAAAGAGTTTATGTTTTCATCTTTGGCAGAAGAGGGTGGGTGGGCTCTATAAGTTGCCCAGAATGTGCACTGAATTTTACAGACGCTTGGTTTATCACATGTGACATGTCATCCTTCAGCCAGAGCACTTTAAAGGCAGCAAGAAACAGAAATAATGTTTATTGTGATTCTTCCACGTATAGAATACCATATGGCACAGTAGTTAAGAAAATGTACTTTGGAGCTAGGCAGACCTGGGTTTGAATCCCTGTCCTTCCCCCTAATCTAAGAGATCTTGGGGCAAATTTCTTAATATTTATGAACAGCTCTATCTGATGGTAAATGGGAATAATAGCAAAAGTAATGCCTAGTTCATAGGATGAGTGTGAAAATTAAATGAGGTACCGAATAAAACATTCCTTGCACCTTATAATAACAGCAATATTTAATATCAATGGAGTGTGTTCCTGATGCCAAATAGGAGTGCTTTTGAAGCATCATGTCATTTAACTCTAACAGCCCTATGAGATGGGTGTTTTCATCCTCAGTTTTTTGTTTGTTTGTTTTTTTTTTTGCTGTACGCGGGCCTCTCACTGTTGTGGCCTCTCCAGTTGTGGAGCACACGCTCCGGACGCACAGGCTCAGTGGCCATGGCTCACGGGCCCAGCTGCTCCGCGGCATGTGGGATCTTCCCAGACCAGGGCACAAACCCGTGTCCCCTGCATCGGCAGGCGGACTCCCAACCACTGCGCCACCAGGGAAGCCCCCATCCTCAGTTTTAAGGTGAAGAAACTCAGACTAAAGTGGCTTTCCCAGATTCCAGCTAGAATGCAAAAGAGCTGGAATTCAAACTCTCATACGTTTTACACCAAATCTCATGAGTTTTTTTCCATATTGTATGCTAATACTTGGTGTTGATTACTGAACTTTTCTCTTCCACAGTATCCAGTGTTGTAAACTGTACTTTGGTGCCCCCAGGAAGCATTTATGGGGTGAATGCTGAATGACTGACCACGTGGACACTGTCTTTCCAGGTTTCTTGGAGTCTCTGCGCAGCCCCTGGGCCAGACCCCGTAGTGAAGGCTGCAGGATCTTCCTTCCAGCCCCAGAAGCTCTGGCTGAGTCCACGGACCCGCCTGGCCTCAGGGTACCGGGAAGAGCGGAGTTGTCAGCAGGAGAGCCTGAGGGTTGAGGCTCAGCGGGACAATGCCAGCCAACCGGAGCTCTCCCCAGTGGTCCCCAGCCCTGGCTGCAGAGGGACATGGCAGTGTGTGTGAGGTGAGGAGAGACAGGGCTCAAGGGACAGGAGTTTATTCAGTGAGGAGATGGCCCCGACCTGTCACTAGGGACTCAGGGCAGGGGCAAGTGTGTCACAGGAGGGGCAAATTCCAGACTTGGTGTCCCTGAGACAGGTCACCATCCTCCTGCTGCGTGAGCACCATGTGGCTGGTGTCCCACATCCAGAGCCCTTCCTGTTTCAGTGGAAAATGTGATGCAGCCGATGGAGGAAAGGTGGGTTGGGAGGGTCAGCCCCACAGCCTAGAGGAGGGGAGGCAGCTCCCTGCAGGGCGTCTGCGAGCGAGGTCTGGATGGGGGTGACCACCGGCCCCAGCCAGGGAGACGCTACCCCCTGACGCCCAGCACAGGCCCTTCAGTCCTCACTGGCTCTGTGCACACACTCAGCTGATCCCTACCAGAGCCTGCTTTCCCCTGATCCTTGGGGACTTGGTGATTTCTCCTCTATCCTGATCTAGGGCAGAAAAATCCCCTTTCTTTGGAACTTAGAGAATGGCAGGGTAGTAGGGTGACCACAGTCTCTAGGGCCCCTCTGCTTCCTCCTCCTCTCAAAGATGAGTAAAGTGGCCTGAGAAGGTACATGACTTGCCCAGGCCTCTGGGATTGTGAGTGACAGCAGTGGACTGGAACCTTGTCTCCTGACCATGTCTTCCACCCTCACCACACAATAGCCAAGACCAAGTTTCCCACTAAAAGTTCCCCTTGAGATTCTGTAAACAGATCAAGATGATGAGGGAGCCAGACCTTGCCCCACAGCTCCCTCTTTCTGACTGTCCTGTGGATGCTGTCACCTCTGGGGACAGGCTCCTTGTCACAGGGGCTCAGGGTCATGTGGTCATTAGGATAATATTAAACTTTAAAAAATTATTTTGATGTTTACTATTTCATTATTTCACAATATAATGTTAGAAAATACAGGTAAGCAAATACAAGAGAATAAAACATTACTTATAATTCCAGCATTAGCCAAAGTTAATCATTGTTAACATTTAGCTATAGTTCCTTACAGTTTTTTTTTCCTTTGTATGTACATGTATGTGGGTATACATGTGGGGCTGTGAGTGTACATACATACCACACACATATACATTATATAGCTCAAGTTTAAAAATGAAATCATAGTATTTGGTTGTTTCCTTTTTAACTTGGCAGTTTAATATAATTTTCTAGGCAGTAAATATTTTTCTTCACACACATGTGATGCATAGGATAAACTATATCCTATGGATAAACTATATTTAATTTAACCAATCCACTATATGTGAATTTAGGGCGTTCTAGGTTGTCTGTTGTGATGAAAACTGCTATGGTGAAATTCTTACACTTAAATCTTTTTGCCCAAGTCACTGAAATTATATTTTGAGTCAAAGGTATAGGGACATTGAATGGTAAATGAATTGCTGCCTAACAGTAGGGCACTTCCACTCTTGGAAAATTGTCCTTGTCCAGGCTCTTCTCCATCATACCAGTCACAGACCCACAGGTTGGGGCCACAACAATGTGGTCCTCCCAAGTCCTTCTGCACATGGCCTCTTGCCCAGCCAATGTGTGGAAATTTCTAGACGAATGATTCTGATCTCTGCAAGGCACATTTCTCCATTAATGTCTTCCTTCCCAACCATAGACCTCTGCCCATTTGCAAGAAGAGATGGAAATGACCAAGCCCTAGTAAATATTATTTATTCACGTATTTATCTGTTAGGTTCTTAGTTTTTTCATTAGATGTCAGACAGCAGGGAATGGGAAGAGATACCAAGGAACCAATAAAAATGTCCCCAGGGGTGAGGAACAGCCAGTTGGGCTAAGAAATAGTGGCTGAAGCTGGAAAACAGGCAGAAGTGTCAGTAAGAGAAAGAGGGATGAGGAATAGCCACAGGGAACAGCTGGAGGGACCATGTTGCACTTATTGGAAATAGAGGATAGCCAAGGGGCCCAGGGGACAGGTGGGAAATCAGTGGAACAAACAGAGGAAATGGGAAACAAGAGCCAGAGGCCAGGAGCAGCAGAGAGACCAAGAAACAGTAGTTGGGGCTGGAGAAGTGTTAATAGTGGGGAGAAAGGAAGAGCCAGAGGATATGAGAACAATTAGAAGGATCTCAAAATGGGAGGAGGGACCAGGAAATAGAGGAACCAGATATCAACCAGAGGGAACAGGGACCATCCACAGGGACAAGGAAACAGAAGAATCAGCTAAAAGGAAAAAGCAAAAAGGTTTGGTGTACTGGGTAAGAGCCTGCCAGACAAGCCACTTCAAGAGGTACCAGGGGTCAGAGGAGAATCTGAGAGGATGGGGAAAGGCAGAGATACTGGGGAACAGAAATGGGAAATGGGAAAGATGAGCCTGGGAAATGCAGCAGCCAGAGGAAGCTAGGGACCAGCTGCTGAGGCTGTAGAACAGGTTGGAGGGGCAGGAAAGGGACAGACCCATGGGACAGTTGGAGAGGCAGAAGGACCTCTGAGGATGAGGAGTAGCCAAGGGCACCAGAGGCAACAAGGAACAGTTGTAGAGGTTGGGGAGTAGCCAGAGGGAATAGCAAAGTGGACATCAAAGATATATCTGGTTTGGATAGCAGCCTGTCTGACCTGGGAACAACTAGAGGGACTAGAGAACAGCTGGAAGGCATAGTATCCATTCCCGAAGCCAGAGGCCCCATGTAGTGGGCACTGGGGTTAAGGGACAGTTGCAGAAGCCAGAGAGAGTCTGGGGAGCATCCAGAGCTCCCTGAGATAGGGCAATAGGGGCTTCATGGGATGTGGAACTTCACTGCTACAACAGGGAAAGTCCTAGGCAAACTGGGACAGTTGGTCACCCTGCCCAAGAAACAGCCAAAGGAGCCAGTCAAAAGTCACATGTAATGCAAGTGATGCAGAAGGTGAAAGTACAGAACCCAGCTGTGGCACAAAGCACACAGAAGTAGTATATGTTGATGATCAAGAGCCTAGGCTAGGAGCCAGGTAGACCAGCACTTCACAGACAGTGGTCCATGGACCAGATGCAGAGCACCAGATGAGAGCATATTAGAAATGCATTCCAGGACTGCCCAAGGAGCAGGGAAGAATTGGGTCTACAAAGAAGTCAGAGGAGTCAAAGGGCAGTCAGTCTGTGTCAACTAGAAGGAATGAGAAAGGTTCATCAGGACCAGGGAGCAGCCAGATGGACTAGGGTGCAACCAGAATGGTGCCACAGACTAAGGATCAGCTAGAGGAATAGCTGTCAAAGGGAACACAGGACAGTCAGAGGCATCAGGGATCAGTCAGAGGGAAGAAGAAACAGGAGGCATGGAACAATGGAACAAGGGACAATCAGAGGAAGCAATAAACAGAGGCATCAGGAAACAGACCAGGGGACAGTCAGAAATAACAAGAAACATTTAGAAGGAACAGTAAACAGAGGGATGAAGGAAGAGTCAGATGGGGACCATGCAGAGGGAACAAGAATCAGGAGAGGGAGCAGGGAGAAGTTAGGGGACAGGAGTGGGTAGGGTAAGCAGGGAAAGCCAGAGGGAGGAGCATGGGAGCAGGAAAGACTAGGGCACCCCCAGCCCCAGGCGAGGGCACAGTGAGCTACACTGCATACTTTCAGGCAGCCTAGTAAGTGCCCTAGGAGCCCTCCTGCTAGGCTGGGATAGGGTTTAGAAGGGCAGGGTTATATCACAGGAGGTGATGGAGAAGTGTGCTGGGGCAGGAGTGAGAGCAGCCCTTGGGGACTGAGCCCCAAGCCGGCTGCAGGGTGGGACAGAGCAGATGGCCAGGGACAGAATGGGCAGTGAGTGGCCAATCCTGGCAGCACAGCATTCCCTTGGGGTGAGAGTGCAGAATGTTTTGGGACTGAGACATTGCTGTGTGGTTCACTGGCAAGCTGTCAAGAGCTGGAGTGGGGATCCTCACCTAGGATGAGGGAGTCCTTGTAAGTGTCCTGGTGGTGGCAGAGACACAGGCCATCCTCCATGGTAGAAATGGGCCATAAAACCGAACCTTTTTGTATGTGGCTGCTGAGGCTAGAATCTGGGTGGTTCTATATTAGCAACTTTGTATCCAAGTCACTAGCTCCAAAATCCCTCTCCATCACATCACATAAGCCTACCCAGCCAGGGTGGAGTCCAAAGTGAAAGGGATCAGAGGGGCATCTGTGCCTGGCATGGTCTTTTTACCCTTTCCCTGTGTGACTCCCAGGGAGGGAGAGACAGATGAGTGTGGTCTTTTGTCCACCAGCTTGGGCTGTCAGAGTTGTTAAAATATTTAACAATGTCTGAAAAAGTATATATATATATATATATATATATATATATATATATATATATATATATATCTAAATCACTTTGCTGTACATCTGAAACTAACACAACATTGTAAACTAACTATGCTTCAAGTTTTATTTTATTTTTTAATTAATTAATTAATTTGTTTTTGGCTGTGTTGGGTCTTCATTGCTGTGCGCAGGCTTTCTCTAGCTGTGGCAAGCGGGGGCTACTCTTCGTTGTGGTGCACGGGCTCTCGGCACGTGGGCTCAGTAGTTGTGGCTCACAGGCTCAAGAGCACAGGCTCAGTAGTTGTGGTGCATGGGCTTAGTTGCTCTGTGGCATGTGGGATCTCCCCAGGTCAGGGCTCGAACCCATGTCCCCTGCCTTGGCAGGAAGATTCTTAACCACTGCGCCCCCAGGGAAGCCTGCTTCAATTTTTTAAAATGGTAAAACAAAGTTTTTAAAAAATGTTTACCAGTGCCAAATGATAGAATATTTTAATTTTCCCATACTGGTTGGCAAACAGCCACTCCTCCCCGCCACCTGAGGCTCCTCCCCTGTGTCACCTACACACCTGCCAGTCTGTCCTGGGGTCACTGGCAAGAGAGCAAGGATCAGGAGGATGGGCAGGCAGAATGAGAGCTTCCCTCAAGCCTGACCCCAGGGCTTTCCCTGGGTTAGTGCCCTTGTGCAGTGAAGGGGAGTAGGTCAGACATGCTGCTAGAGGCTCAGGTGGAGGTC